TGAACCTAAATTTTAAAAAATACGGTCTTAGTTAAAAAATTAAAATAAACCACAAAAACCACCTTCATCTTGCATGCTATAAAAGAAAAAGACAGCTGAATTTTGTTTCAGAGCCATAATTTGCCCAACTCTGACATATATTCTTATTCTTAAATATCTTTCTCTATCTTTATTTTTTTTTTAAGATTTTTATTTATTTGAGAGAGAAAGAGTGAGAGAGGGGCGGGTCACAGGGAGAAGCAAACTCCCTGCTGAGCAGGGAGCCTGATGTGGGGCTTGATCCTGGATCCCAGGACTCTGGGATCATGACCCGAGCCAAAGGCAGACGCTTAACCAACTGAGCCACCCAGGCACCCCTCACTGTGTCTTTAGATCTAAAGTGAGTTTCTTAAAGACATGTTTGGTTCATGGGTCATTGTGCCAATCTCCACCTTTTAATTGGTGATTTTAATCAACTTACATTTAATGTAATTACTGATAATAAAGAACTTATTTTTGCCATTTCTCTTTTCTATAATCTTAAATTTTTTGTCTCCTATATATAATTTCTTTTATGTCGTAACTTTTTGTTCCTCCATTATTGCCTTCCTTGTGATTGTTTCTAGGGTAGCATTTTGATTCCCTTCTCATTTGTTTTTCTATTTTTAGTTTTTCTCTTTATTAGTTTCCCTGGGGATTAATATTACATCTTATAACAATGAAGTTTGAGTACTGACTTAGTTTCAATAGTGCACAAAACTGTTTCTTACAGATGCATTCCCATTTTGTCGTTATTGTCACGTTAACATCTTTATACATTGTGCCCATCAACAAAGATTTATAATTATTGTCTTATGCATTTGGCCTTACCATATATGAAAAAAAAGAGTAGTTCTAAGCTAAAATACAATAATACTGGCTTTTATATTTACATATGTATTTACCTTTTCCAATGTTCTTTCCTTCTTCATATGGATTCAAATTACTATCTAGAGTCCTTTCATTTCAGCCTGAAGGACTCCCTTTAGCATTTCTTGTACAGCAGGTCTACCTGTAATAAGTTCCCTGTTGTTTTTTTTTCTGTAAATGCCTTAATTTCTCCATTTTTGAAGGATAATTTCCCCAGATATAAAGTTGTAGGCTGATAGGTTTTTTCTCCCTTTAATTGTGGACTTAAAATATGTTATTACACTGCCTGTGGCCTCCATGATTTCTGAAGAGAAATTTGTTGTTAATATTATTGAGGATCTTCTGTACATGAGAGGTTTCTTGTTGCTGTCAGTGTTCTCTCTTTGTGTTATAGTGTGCATCTCTTTGAGTTTATCCATCCTGAAGTCTGTTGAGCTTCTTGAATGTGTAAATTCATGTCTTGTATCAGATTTGAGAAATTTTGGGCCACTGTTTCTTCAGATATTCTTTCTGCACCTTTCTCCTTTCTTTCTGGGACTCCCATTATGTACTTACTAGTACTTTTGATGGTGTCCCACATTTCTCAGTCTCTGTTCATTTTTCTTCATTCTTTTTCTGAGCTCTTCAGACTGGATAATCTTAATTAATTGGGTATATATCCAAAGGAAATGAAATCATTATCTCAGAGATATATCTGCACACCCATGTTCGTTGCAGCATTATTCACAATAGCCAAGAGAAGGTAACCAACTTGTTTGTCTACCAATAAGTGGATAAAGAAAATGTTACATATACAAGTATATAACATATGTATATGTTTATCATATGTATATATAACACATTTCCTGTATATATAGATATAGATGCACATACCCTCATAGTGGAATGTTACTCAGCCATAAAAAGGAAGGAAATCGCCGTTTGAGACAACATGAATGATCTTTGAGGGCATTATTCTAAGTGAAATAAGTTAAAGATAAATACTGTATCATCTCATTTATTTGTGGAGTCTTAAAAAACAACTCATTGAAACAAAGAGTAGATTAGTGTTTGCCAGGGCCTAGGGCATTGGGAGAATGGGGAAGTGTTGTTAAAGGGTACAAACTTCCAGTTAGGGGGCGCCTGGGTGGCTCAGTCGTTAAGCGTCTGCCTTCGGCTCAGGTCATGATCCCAGGGTCCTGGGATCGAGCCCCACATCAGGCTCCCTGCTCCGCGGGAAGCCTGCTTCTCCCTTTTCCACTCCTCCTACTTGTGTTCCCTCTCTCACTGTGTCTCTCTCTGTCAAATAAATAAAATCTTAAAAAAACAAAAAAACTTCCAGTTAGAAGATGAATAAGCTCTGGATATCTTATATCCAGCTTGGTGACTATAGTTAACCATACTGTATTGTATACCTGAAAGTTGTTAAAGTAAATCTTAAATGTTCTCTCACACATGCACACACGTAAAGCACTGTGAAGTAATGATGTTTAACTACGCTTATGTGGTAATCATTTCACAATATTTACATATACCAAATCTTCACATTGTACACCATAAATTTACAATGTTATATGTCAAACATATCTCAGTGAAGGTGAAGGGAAAAAAAATCAATGATCCAGTTCTTTCCTAGAAGTCAATAAATGAAGGAAAATGGCATGGAGTTAAATGGTATTCTACATGACGTTAGCATTTGCTTCATTTTCTCACCTACAAGTGCCAACAAATTAAAGTTTACATTGTCATTGTTCCTAATCTACAGAAAGCTGAGGGGGACTGACTCAGAACAGGTAAAATTCTCTGAGCTTTTAGTATGTGCCAGGGGCTGTTCTAAGGAATTTACACTATTAACTTATCTAACCCTCCTAATAATTTGATGAGGTAGGTAATCCTGTTTTACAGTTAAGAAATGATGGCACAGACACTTTGGAAGATAGTTTTGTGGTTTCTTACAAAACTAAATATACTTTTACCATACAATCCAGTAATGGAAACTCCTTGGTATTTACCCAAAATAGCTGAAAACTTACGCCCACATAAAAACCTGCACACAGATAATTTATAGCAGCTTTATTCTTAATTGCCAAAACTCAGAAGCAACCACGATGACCTTCAATAGGTGAATGGATAAACTGTGGTACCTCCTGACAATAGACTATTACTCAGCGCTAAAAAGAAATGAGCTACTCAAAGACATGAAAGAAACTTAAGTTCATGTTACTAAGTGAAAGAAGCCAATCTGAAAAAGGGTACGTATGTTCCAATTGTGACTATATGACATACTGGAAAAGGCAAATCTATGGAGATAGTAAAAAAAAAAATCCGTGGTCGTGTGGGGTGAGAGGAGATGAACAGACAGAGCACAATTTTTAGGGTAATGAGAATACTCTTATGACATTATAGTGATGGATATATGTGCAAACCCAGAGAATGTACAACACTAAGGTACAACACTAAAGTAAACTATGGACTTTGGGTTATTGTGATATGTTAATGTAGGTCATCCTTGGTAAAAAAAAAAAAAAAGTGTTACCACTCTGGTGGGGGATGTTGATAATGGGGTAAACTACATATGTGTCGGGGGGTGAATGGGAAATCTCTGTGCCTTCCTCTCAATTTTGTTGTAAACCTAAAACTGTTCTTAAGAAAAAAAAACCCACGGGGCGCCTGGGTGGCTCAGCCGTTAAGCCTCTGCCTTCGGCTAAGGTCATGATCTCAGGGTCCTGGGATCGAGCCCCACATCGGGCTCCCTGCTCAGCGGGAAGCCTGCTTCTCCCTCTCCCACTCCCCCTGCTTGTGTTCCCTCTCTTGCTATGTCTCTCTCTGTCAAATAAATAAATAAAATCTTTAAAAAAAAAAAAAGAAAAAAACCCACAAAAGTCTTAAAATAAACTAAGGCAGGGCGCCTGGGTGGCTCAGATGGTTAAGCGTCTGCCTTCGGCTCAGGTCATGATCCCAGGGTCCTGGGATCGAGTCCCGCATCGGGCTCTCTGCTCCTTGGGAGCCTGCTTCTCCCTCTGCCTCTCTCTCTCTCTGTCTCTCATGAATAAATAAATAAAAATCTTTAAAAAAAAAAAAAAAAAACTAAGGCAAGGAGAGGTTGAGTAAACTACTTAAGCAGTTCACAACTTAGCAAGTGTTAGAGCCAGGATTTTAACCCAGGAATTGGATCCATATTCTTAAGTATTATACCACACTGCTCATACACCACAGAATAATGTGGCCTGAAACAAAGTCATGCTGACAAACCAGAAATTAGACCTGGCTAGTGCCACAAAAATCCCCTTATGGATTTGTGGGTGGGGTGGCAGGAGGATCTCTGCCCTAGTTGAAACAGATCTCTCAGCTTGAACCACCAATTACATACCTACTCTTTTTTTTTTTTTTTTTTTAAGATTTTATTTATTTGCCAGAGATAAAGAGAGGGAGAGTACAAGCAGGGGGAGTGGCAGGCAGAGGGAGAAGCAGGCTCCTTGCTAAGCAAGGAGCCCAATGTGGGACTCGCATCCCAGGACTCTGGGATCATGACCTGAGCAGAAGGCAGACGCCCAACGATCTGAGCCACCCAGGCGCCCCTACATTCCTACTCTTAAAAGCCTCCCAAAGCGAAGTCCTTGTCATTGACTGAAATATCTTGCTTTCCAACTCAAACCTATATAAGACTACCTGGTGTGTGATTCCAGGTAGGTACCTTCTCTACTTTAACAAATCACCGCCTAAAATAATGGTCTAATTATCCTCCAGAGATGTATTTCTATACCATAAGAATGCTTGATAAAAGAGAGCCAACAGGAAGAACTGAATGATTTGCAAAATGTAAATGATTAACCGGATGGATAAGTGGGTGCACCGGGAAGTGGGCTTTACCCCCAGGACCTCTGACTTTCTCTTCGTAAGGAAGACTTAGAGGTAAATCAAGAGATACTTACCGGGGCAGAAGTTTCAGGAGGACACCAGATGTTTCTGTAAACTGAAAAAATGCAACGCGTTTCAAGGAACAAAGAAGAAACACAAACGCACCTTGAGTCTGGTTTTAGATGTACAGCAGCCATTCTCCCCGTCTCGTGCCTTCGGTGCACAACGGCAGGCCTGACATAAAGGGACGCGGGAGACATCTGCTCTTTTTGAAGTCTGGTCACAACCCAACCTCTTACGACCATCCCCGCCCCTCGCTTCTTCATGCATCTGCAAAGAGAAGGTAGAAGACGACGAGAAAATCTGGATTCGCAGCTCTGGGTACGCTGCAGTTCTGACACCGCAGGTGGCCACCCCCGAGGCCAACTATCGCCTCACTCTGTCCACAACTATTCCATGGATCCTTCCAGCCCTAGCGGCCCTCGTCCAGTCCAAGTCCCGACTCTACGCCGGAGACCTTCTTTCTGGGGCTCCACCTCCGACCGTGCGCTCTGCCCTTTTCTCCGCAGCCAGGCCCTGCACGCCGAGGCGTGTACTGAAGTGCGCGGGGCCTCGGCATCGCCTCCAGGCGGTAGGCCGCGCGCACAAGCCCTACCCCGAGTCGAGTTCTAGCCGCTCCATCCAGCTCAGCCCGCGCACCAGCTCTGCGGAGCCCAGGAGGGAAAGTACAGCGACACCAAATTCTGGGTCAGGCACTAACGCCCCCGGAGCAGTCGGGTCCGCACAAGCCCGCCTGTCGCGCCCCGCGCACGGCTCTGCGAGAACGGCCCGGGGCTCCGGGAAGTGCGCGTCTCGGGCCAAGTGCTGAGGCGCGCGGGGCAGGCTGAGTCCCACGCCTCTTCAGAGCGCGGAGGGGGCGGTGGGACGCCGAGGCGAGCGGGACTCGGGCCCGGACCCTATGGGAAATGTCGCACACGGCCCTGACAAGTCGAGACTCCGGCTTTCGTTCCACTGGTCATGGGCTCCGCGCCCCGCCGCCCCAGCGCGGTACCGCGGCTTCCGGAGAAAGCCACACACAGTCAGTAGTCGCTCGCTGCGCCTCTTCCACCCGCCGAGGAGGCTGCTGGGCTCGGAAGCCCGCGGTAAAGCCCGTCTGGGGCCAGGATTCCGGAGCGGGCTGGTTTCGGTGCGTGCGGCTGTTCCCGCGCGTAGACGGGGAGCTGCGGAAACTCCGCAGAAAATGTACGATGATGCCCCACTTCGATGCCGGGATGTAGGAGCCTGTGCTTGGTTAGTGGAGTGCCTGAGACTGTGTGTATCCGTGAATGCGGCTGTGCCTCACCGTGCATTATTTCTGGGATGGTTCCGAGAGGCCAACGCCTCTGGTTATTGTTTTCCACGCCTGTGGCTCACGTTGCTGCTGTGCTTGTGGGTCACACTGGGTGTGTGGCATTTTGATAACCGCACGCTGGGTAAGTGTGCCATCAGGATTGTGACTCAGGCAATTAGATAAGTAAAATAACTTCAGGCATACATATTGGAAAGAAGGAAGCAAAATTATCCTTACTTACAGGGGATAGCATCATAAGAATGTATACCTGGACTCATAACAAAATGTTGAAATGAGGACTTCGTAACATGCAGAGGAGTAAAAGTTGTATATATATTTATTTGTATATGTATTATATATATTTGTGTATATATATGTGTCAATTATATTTTTTCTCCTTTACGTGTATTTCACGATTTCTTCCTGCTCTTGGATATGAAGTCTTGGATGAGCCCAATAACTTCTGCAGTCACTCAGATTAAAAAAAAAAAAAAAAAGTCCTTTTAACTCTTTTTGTTAAAAGATCAGTCTCATTTTAGTGGTAAGTAATTAAAACATCTGTTTTTTTTAATTTTTTTAAATATATTTATTTATTCATGAGAGAGAGAGAGAGAGAGAGAGAGAGAGAGAAGCAGAGGGAGAAGCAGGCTCCCAAGGAGCAGGGAGCCCGATGTGGGACTCGATCCCAGAACCCTGGGACCATGACCTAAGCCGAAGGCAGACGCTTAACCGTCTGAGCCACCCAGGCGCCCAAAACATCTGTTTAATAATCAAAACTTCAGACTTCATTTAAAGCAAGAACTCCCACCTGCCCTTTCCCTGACACACCTCCAAATATGGCTATATCATAATTACTGGTTAAAGCAGTATTTGGTATTTATATACTGATTATGTAAATATTTTTGTGCTTTAGAGTCAAATACATTTTTTACACAAAGGTTCCTTTATCCTGGATTTAACTACCTTGTTTTTGTGCATATGTACCTTGTCTGTGTTCCTATTGCTACCCTTTTCTAAATGTCATTACCCCCAAAAAGTGTCAAACTCTCAGCAGTGATTTTTCCAAACACTCAAACTTATTTGATACCGCCCCCCCGCCCCCCACTCCCTTCCACAGCCATGATTTTTGTAACACCAGTCAGGATTTCAGAGTTTCTGTACAGCTTCCCTTCTTGCTTTGTCTGAATTGAACTCCTGTTTCCTGAGTCTTGTTAATTTGGCGTATTTCTCATTTTTGCTGACTGCCTTTCTCCAACAGCGTCCTTAAAATGCATGCCTTTGAGGTAAATGGTTTGGGTTTTTGTTTTGTTTTGTTTTTTTGACTGTTTGAAAATGCTTTTATTGTAATCTAACTTACTGCCTGGGGTGAGAATTCTCTAACTCAGAATTTGAAGACCTAACCTGATACTGTTAGAGTAGCTAACATTGCTTTTATAAAGACTCTCCTCATCTGTTTTCTGTTTCTTTGTGTGTTATCTGTGTTCCTAATCTTCCTGGAATGTTTAGGGTCAACTATATCATCAATGTACTAAAATTTCATAATTTCATTCCTTGGTGTGGATCTTTAAAATTTTTTTATGCTGCATATCAGGTGAGTATTTTTAATCTAGACACGTACTTCTGGGCAATTTTTTTTCTTGCCTTCCTCTCTCACTGAAATTTATTTACTTTTCTTTTCTTTTTCTTTTTTATTTTTTTTAAAGATTTTATTTATTTATTTTAGAGAGAGAGAATGAGAGAGAGCACATGAGAGGGGGGAGGGTCAGAGGGAGAAGCAGACGCCCTGCCGAGCAGGGAGCCCGATGCGGGACTCAATCCCGGGACTCCAGGATCATGACCTGAGCCGAAGGCAGTCGCTTAACTGACTGAGCCACCCAGGAGCCCCTTCTTTTTATTTTTTGAAGATTTTATTTTTAAGCAATCTCTACACCCAACATGGGGCTCAAACCCACAACTGCAAAATCAAGAGTCACACACTCCACTGACTGAGCCAGCCAAGCGCCCCTCACTGGAATTTATATTATTAGATGGAACTCCCATAGTGTAAGCTTCTATATGTTTTCCTCCTATTTTCTCTGTATCTTTTTATTCAACTCCAGAAATTTTGTTAACTTTATCTTCCAATTTTATTTAGTTTTTAATTACTCATCATATTTTTAATTTCCTAGAACTCTTTCTTGGTTTTAATCTTTTTCTTCTTTTTTTAAAAAAAGATACATTTATTTATTTGAGAGAAAGAGCACAAGAATGTCCAGCAGACTCGCAGCAGAGTGCGGGGCCTGACTCGGGCTCAGTCCACAATCCTGAGATCTTGACCTGAGCCGAAACCAAGAGTTGGACACTTAACCAACTGAGCCACCCAGGCACCCTTAATCTTTTTCTTCTACATAGTATCTTATTCTTCATGGATGCAGTATTTTCTCTGATATGTATATAATTATATACATCTTGACATAATTATATATAGTATACATACTATGTTCATTATATTAAATTCATAATTATATGAATACTATTTTATATGTTTATATTATGCATAGGATGTATATTACATTCAATAATTCAATTATTTATTTATATATTTATTTCTTTAAAGCTTTCTTGGTTCGGTATTGTCCTGTTTATTTTCTTGCTTTTCGTAGTTCTTTGAGTTGTGTTCTGTGAATTCCTTGACCTGAACTAAAAATACAATTCTATTTCATATTTTCACTTTATTTCATTTTGAGCCCATTTATTAACTTAAAATTCTATACTCAAGTATATATATGAACATAAGTACAGTTGAATGAATAAAAATAACAAACTCCTGTAGACTTACCATTCAGTTTAAGAAAAAGAGTATTATCGGGGTGCCTGGATGGCTCAGTTGGTTTAGCGTCAGACTCTGAGTTTCAGCTCTGCTCATGATCTCATGGGTTGTGAGACTGAGCCCCATGTCAGGCTCCGGGCTCAGCAGGGAGTCTGCTTGAGAATTCTCTCACTCAACCTCTCTTCCCACCCATGTTCATGTGTACGTGCACGCTCACTCTCCCTCTCTCTCTCAAATAAATAAATAAATCTTTAAAAGAAAAAGATAGGGGCACCTTGGTGGCTCAGTCGTTAAGCGTATGTATTTTGTCACTTTTTAAAAACTCAACCTTATGTTCTGGGGATGCGTGTTCATTTTCTCACTGCTGGATGGTATTATATTGTGTATATATGTCAAATTTTGTTTGCATATACTACTTTTGATGGATATCTGATTTCTTTCCAAGTTTTTCCCTGGAAAATAGCATCTACAAATGGTGCTATTTTGAACATTTCTGTGGGCCTTCTGAGGTGCCTGGGTGGCTCAGTCGGTTAAGCATCTGACTCTTGGTTTTGGCTCAGGTCATCATCTCAGCGTGAAGCAAAAACTAATTGAACTGAAAGGAGAAATAGGCAAATCCATAATTATAGCTAGAGACTCCAACACCCCTCTCTCAACAATTGACAGAACAACTAGAAAAATAGCAGTACAGATACTGAAAAACTCAACACCATCAACCAAAAGGATATAATTGACACTTAGAGAACACTACCCAAAAACAGCAGAACAAACATCTTTTTAAGGGCTGTGGAACATATACAAATATAGAACATATTGCGGGGGCACCTGGGTGGCTCAGTTGTTAAGCATCTGCCTTCAGCTCAGGTCATGATCCCAGGGTCCTGGGATCGAGCCCCACATCGGGCTCTCTGTTCAGCGGGAAGCCTGCTTCTCCCTCTCCCACTCCCCCTGCTGTGTTCCCTCTCTGGCTGTGTCTCTCTCTGTCAAATAAATAAATAAAATCTTAAAAAAAAAAAAACATACCGTGGGCCATAAAACAAACCTCAACAAATTGAAAAGCACTAAAATCATATACAAGTTGCTCTAGTCAAACTAGAAATCAATAACAGAAAGATAACAGGAAAGTAAACAACATACTTCTAAATAATCCATAGGCCAACTTCCATAGGAAGCTTCAGAGGAAAATGCATTAATCTGAGTGAAAATTAAAATATGGCATATCAACAATTTGTCTGACATAGCTAAAGCACTGCTGAGAGAGAAATTTAAAGCATTAAATGCATACATGAGGAAAGAGGAAATGTCTCAAATTAATAGTCTAAGCTCCCACTCAGAAACCTAGAGAAGAAGAGGAAAATAACCCCAAATCAAGTAGAAAAAGGGAAATAGTAAAGACAAGTGGAAATCAAAGAAAACAAAAACAATAGAAAAAAAATCAGTTAAACAAAAAACTGGTTTGGTGAAGAGATGAATAAAATTCACAAATATTTAGGAAAAAAGGCACAAAATATAAACATCAGGAATGATATGTCACTATAGATTCTGTAGATCTCAGAAGGATAATAAGGAATAATATGAACAATTCTACACATTTTAATTTCACAACTTAAGTAAAATAAACCGTTTCTTGAAAAAGCATAAACTGCCAGCTTATAAAATATAAAATAGATCATTTGAATAGCCCTATAACTAATAAGGAAATTGAATTTGTAATTTAAAAACTCACAAAAAAAATCTACAGGCCACATGGTTTCACGAAATTTACTAACATTTGAAAAGAATTAGCAGCAATTTTATATAATCTCTTCCAGAAAACAGAAGAGGGAACACTTCCTAATTCATTTTATGGCGGTAGTATTATCCTGATACCAAAACCAGACAAAGACAGAGGGGGAAAAAAAAAAAGAAAGAAAAACTGCAAACTACTATCCTTCATAAATACAGTTGCAAAAATATTTAACAAAATATTACCAAATAGAACTCAGCCATCATCTTTCTATCTATCTATCTATCTATCTATCTATCTATCTATCTATCATCTATCTATCTATTGTAATGTATAGAATATTACCAAATAGAATTCTGATACAGAAGAAGAATTATACAACATAACCAGGGGTGCAATGCTGGTTCAATCTTGGAAATCAGTGTAAACCATCATATAAAAAGTTTAAAGAAGGCCCCGGGGGCACCAGGGTGGCGAAGTCAGTTAAGCGTCTGCCTTCAGCTCAGGTTATGATCTCTGGGTCCTTGGATCAAGCAAGCCCCACAGCGGGCTCCCTGCTCAGCGGAAGTCTGCTTCTCCCTCTCCCTCTGCCCTTCCCCCTACTCGTGCTCTCTCTCTGTCTCTCTCAAATAAAAAAATAAAATATTAAAAAAAAAAGAAGGCCCTGAATGTCTAAAGCAATCTTGAACAACAACAACAACAAAAAAACAAAACAAAACTGGAGGTATCACAATTCCAGATTTCAAATTATATTACAAAGCTGTAGTATTCAAAATAGTATGTGGTACTGGCACAAAAATAGACACATAGATCAATAGAACAGAATAGAAAACCCAGAAAAAAAAAACATAACTATATGGTTAATTAATCTTTGACAAAACAGGAAAGAATAGCAGAAGAAAAATAGAGTATCTTCATGTCCTTGTGGTAGGCAAAGTTTTTAAATAGAATGAGACATCAACAATAAGTAAAATATTAATAAACTGAACTTCATTTAAATTAAAAGCATCTGTTTTTCAAAAGACAGAGTGAAAAGGCAAGCCATAGCCTGGAAAAGATACCTACAGTACATATATCCTACAAAGACCTCATACCTTAGTATGTACAAATACCTATGAATAAATAGAAAAAAAAAACCCACAAACTGATTTTAATAAAATAGTCAAAAGTCAAACAGGCAGTTCAACAGAGACATTATTCAAGTTATTGGCACATGAAAGGATGCTGAAGTGAGCATTCATCAGTGAACAGATTAAAATCACTCTGAGATACCACTACCCACCTACTAGTATTGTAAATTAAAAAGGCTGATAATACCAAGTACTTAAAAGGATATGGAGCAACTGGAACCCTTTACATTACTGATACAAGTGTAAATTGACACAACTTTGGAAAATGATTTGGTGGTATCTCCACAGATAAATATAAACCTACTTTATGAGCCACCTATTCCACTTTGGATTCCTAATAGAAATGAATGCTATGTCTACCAAAATATATAAGATTGATCATAGATTTATTTATAAGAAAAAACTGGAAACCCACACAAATATCTATTAATATAGAATGAATAGACTGTAGCATGATTTAGAGTACTGAGCCAGCAGACAAAATATGGCCCATCACCTGTTTTGATATGGCCAATGACCTAAGAAAAGTTTTACATTTTTAAATGGTTGAAAAAATAAAAATAAGAGTATTTTGCAATATGTAAAAATTATATGAAATTCAAATTTCAGTGTCCATAAATAAAGTTTTATTGGAATACAGCCACACTCACTTTTTTACATATTGTCTATGGTTGCTTTCATGCTGGAATAGCAGGTTTGAGTAGGTGTGACAGAGAACATCTGGCACACAAACCCTAAAATATTTACTAGCTGGCTAAAGAAATTTTTGCTACATTCAATAATAAGGACTCATCTCAGAGTCTTAATGTTGACAAAAACATGCCAGACACATATCATTACACTGATTGCATTCAAATGAAGTTCAAGAATACACAAAAGTAATCCATGGTGTTAGAAGTCCAAATAATGGTCACTTCTGAGCGGAGTCAATGTTTACAAGGGAACATTCTGGCATCTTGGAAATAAATGTTCTCCATCTTGATCTGTGTGTGGTGATTGCCTGTGCATGCAAAAATCATGGAGATGTATATGTAATATTTATGGACTTCCTCTAAATTATTCCACTAAAAAAAAGATTAAGACTGAATTTGCATTTTTTATCTCTCTCTTTTTTAAATAAAGATTTTATGTATTTATTTATTTGAGAGAGAGAAAGCACAAGCAGGGCAGAGGGAGTGGGAGAAGCAGACTCCCCGCTGGGCAGGGAGCCCCATATGCGGCTCGATCCCAGGACCCTGAGATCATGACCCGAGCTGAAGTCGGACACTTAACCAACTGAGCCACCCAGGCACCCCCATCCCTCTTCATTTCACTATAAAACTCATTTTTTCAAATTATTTGCTAGATGAAATTAGTTAAGTTTCTCCCCCTCTAAACCTTGAAAGGAAATTGATGCTGCAGGCTGCTGTGTTCAATTTAGGTCGCCACATATAACTGCTTAAATTTAAACGTATTAAAATTAAAATCACTAATTCATTCTTCAGTCAAACTAACCATATTTAAGAGGCTCAACAGCCATAAGTGGCTAGTGGCTACTGTTCTGGACAGTGCAGATACAGAACACGGAACCGAGTTTTGCAGAAAGTTCTATTGGACAGCAGTGCTCCCAAACGTCACACAAATGTTAAACTCATTTTACAGGTGAGGAAACAGAAGCTTAGAGATACCACTATTACACAGTGCTGCATACACTTCTTTTCCCACATTCACTGCTGCAGGTGAGCTCTCAACGTATCATTCATTTAACAAGTCTAATTCAAAATTCATAACCATGCAAAGAAAAGGTTTCTTTGTTATAAGTTATAAAATACTTAGTTGCAGACTGTCTGATCAATCCCAGACAGCACCCTTATACTCACACCGTCCCGAGACGCTCTCACATAACCCCGAATGGATCACACGCTTATCCACTAATATCCCTCTCACAGTTTCAAACACAATCGGACACACTGCACACTGCCCGCAGTCCTCGCTTCCCTTGCAGAGGACACTTGAATACAAACACGCGACCGCCAAGTAAGCGTCAAACCCCCGATGCCTCTTGAGCAGAAACCTGGTAGTCACAACTACTGCGTCTGAGCCAGAGCTCCTGTCTGAGAAATCCGGACCCTACCTCCTGGCCTTCTGCAGCTTTCTCAGCCCTGGGCTACATTTCTCTGACGGCATCACTACAAGACCCAGCGTCTGGTAACCTCCTTGGGATTTTCTAGGGTCACTCGAGTAAAGGAAAGAGGTCGGCTCACACCTTAGGAGCGCGAGATCCCCCACTGGAGCAAAGGAGACTCAAGGCGCGCCCGATTCCTGGCCGCACAATGTGGCTACGGCCGCTGCATTCTGTTGGATCGAACTGGGGTCACATTTTTTACTACATTTCCCGGAGGCCACCGCGTCCCTGCGCCATCTCGTACGCTCACTCCGTTACGTCTTGATGCAAGGATCCAGTCTGCAGCGGCCAGGTGAGTGGACCGCCTCCCTGGGACCCGCACGCCGCATTTGGTACGGAGCACCCCGAAAAAAAGTTCCCATGGGGTGCTGGGAATACCGGTATGCCGGCCGGGGCTCGGTGCTGACAGGAATCGGGGCGACCCCGGCTCTGCACTACGTTTCTCCTAAGTCGTAGCGCTCCAGGTTAATTCCTTACGGAAGTCGGCCTTGCAGTTGCGGGATGCCTGTGCCCTTCTCCGCCGGCAGTATCGGCACCGTCACTTCGGTTCCGAGCAGGGGCGTGGCACTATTAGTTTTGTTCCTCCGCGCCGGTGATAGTGGAGTGCGCTTGGCACTCCTTTCCCGCTGGCAAACTCGGCACCGTGACTTTGGTTCCGGGAGGAGGGTATTAGGAATATGTTACCCTTAACGTTCCACCGCGCGGGATGTGTGTGTGTGTCCGCTTCTGTGGCGGCACGACGGGCTCACCTGCCATCATCTACTGCTTTTGGCAGCTGGGATCCTTCGCACCTGAGTACTTTAGCCCCCGTGTGACAGGGACAGAGCCCGTTGAGAATCGCGCGGTTCCAGCTGCTGTAATTCCTTCACTTTACTATGCAGAGAGAACGTGCCTGTTTTGAAGCTGCCCCTATAATGAGGATTTACACCTGGAAGTGCCCTAAGAAGGGAGAAGACCAGCATAATAGGGTGCCCCGTTCTACTTTGAGAGCCCTGTGGGGAAAACCAATCCCTTTCTCTGTCCTGAAGTTGTTCTGGGAGATGCTCCTAAATTGTTTTGTTGGCTCTGAAAAAGGCTTGATAGCCTATGATTGTTTTCTCCGTTTTCCTTTTGCAACAGAGCCACACAGGGAAGGAAAAAGAATCTTGCACGTCTAAAAAGCTTGCCTAAAATAAGTTGTCATTTTCTTTCTTCCCTCAAGTTTACTACTACTTTTCAAGATGTTGCTACCTCCAGCAACAAACATCTTAAGGAGGAACCAGCCATTCAGTGACTGGTCGTTAGGCATCGCTATCCCCAGAAATGATGGCGCTGCAGGGATGAGCTAACTCCATTCTCCAACCACACTACACTTCTCCTTTCCAGCCAATGACAAATCAGCCCTTTCTGGCCTGATTTTTGATGAGAGAGAACTATACCCTCTGGAGGAAATTTGAAGATTTTTATTTTAACTTTATTATGGAAATTTTCAAGCATAGAAGAAAATAATATGAACCCCAATGTGCTCAACACCCAGCTATAATTAAAAAAACATTTGCAAATATCCTTATTATCTATCCTTCCTCCTTTTTTCTGTAGCATTTCAAGAATTTACATTATTTTATCCATATGTATGCATATATAACCAAAAAGAATATCATTTTTAGATAATCACCATGATGTTATCCCAACTTTAAAAACTAACAGTAATTCCATAATAGCATATATGCAGTACATATTCGGGTTTCTCCAGTTCTTTCACAGATAGGTTTTTACAATTGATTTGTTCAAATCATGGTCCAGATAAGGTCTACACAGTGCATTCAGTTGCCAAGCCTCTTAAATTTCTTTACAACAGTTTCCCTTCTATTTTTTGCTTTTGTTGTATTTTAATAGGTATCACTGTTTTGTAAAAAACTAGGTTGTTTATAGATTATTCTACATTCTGCTTTTGGCTAATTGCTACCTTGTGGTGTCATATAATTTGTTCCCCAATGCCCCATATTTCTGTAAACGAGTAGTTAGATCTAGGGGCTTGATCAAATTCAGATCATATTTTGCATAAACCACATTTTCGGGCAAAAATAATTCATAGTTGGTGCTGTGTACTTCCTGTTCATCACATCCTGGGGCTTTTAAAGTCTGGTGTCCCACTTCTGGTGATGCCGTATTGATCACTGTTCAAGTGCTGTCCACTTAATCCTTTTATAAGGTTCCCTTTCCTTTTTCACCTATTAATAGAAGAAGGTATAATATAATTCATCTGTTTTACCCTAAAATATACTTGTAAAGATTTCAAAGCAACAATAGCACTGTTAGAACTAACTATTCAAGATAGGGAATGTATTTAAATTTATTTTGATTATCATATTTTCTATATTTAAGGTTCATGTGTTATATTTGGTTATGTCCCTTTCATCTCTTAATCAAGTGTAAATGTTCTTCTCATAACATTGATTTTTTTTAAATTTTATTTTGATACATTACACTTACAGAAAAGTTGCCCCCCCCACATAATAGAATGAACTCTCCTATGCCCTTATAGATTTACCAGTTATTAACATTTAGTTTTTTGTTTGCTCTTTCCTTCTACATATGTACTTTTTTTTCTGAACCATTTGGTAGTAATTTTCAGATATCATGTTCCTTTATCCATAAAAATACATCAGTGTCTTTTTCTAAGTACAAGGACTATCACTGTAGTTCATTTATTAAAATCAGGAAATATAGATATAATAATTATTTAATTCAGAATTCATAGAAAAATTTCACTAGTTGTCCCAGTACTGTCCTTTATAGCTTTCTTTCTGCTGATCTGGGCTCCATTCCAGAATCATATCTAGGATCAAACATTTCATTCAGTTATCACATCTCTTTAGTCTTCTTTAAAACAATTCCTGGGCCTTTTTTGGTCATTATCTTGACATCTTTGAAGAGTACAGGTCAGTTATTTTGCAGATTGTTCTTCAGTTTGCATGTCTTCGATGTTTCTTCCTGATCCGATTCAAGTTACGGATTTTTGGCAGGAAAGGTGGGTGCTTCAGTTCATTCCCCAGTAACTGCAGTTGGCTGCGTTTTTTACTGTCTACATTGATAGTACTTTCTGTAGGGAAGTTAGTCCAGGAGGATCTTTTTTTTTTTTTAAGATCTTATTTTATTTATTTGACAGAGACACAGCGAGAGAGGGAACACAAGCGGGGGAGAGGGAGAAGCAGGCTTCCCGCTGAGCAGGGAGCCTGATGCGGGGCTCGATCCCAGGACCCTGGGATCATGACCTGAACCATCCAGGCACCCCAAGTCCAGGAGGATCTTAATCATCATTGGAATTAGAAGTCTTCTCAATTTAGTTTCAATTTAGGTTTCTCTTATATAAATGAGGTTGAACATTGGCTTCCTTTTTTATGAATTGTCTTTTTTAGTTTTGTCCTTTTTTAAAAAGATTTTATTTATTTCAGAGAGAGAGGAGAGAGCATGCCAACATGAGCAGGGGGAGAGGCAGAGGGAGAAACAGACTCCCCGCTGAGCAGGGAGCCCAATGCAGGGCTCGATCCCAGGACTCTGGGATCATGACCTGAGCTGAAGGCAGATGCTTAACCAACTGAGCCACCCAGGCACCCCTGTTTTGTCCTTTTTAATAATGATTTTTAATCTTTATCTTGATTTTCAAAGTGAAGCTCTTTTGGTCTTAGGAAGGTCATTTTTTTTTTTTTTTAGGTTGCAGGTAATCTTCTCCCAATTTGTTATTTGTGTTTGTGTTCTTTTATCTGGGCAATTTTTAAATATAGTAAAATGTATTCATTTGACTGTAAGAAATAGAAAGGCTTTTCTCCTCTCAATCTAAAAGGAACTCAACCATTTTTTTATTTTAGCATGCCTTTGGGCTGAATGTTTGACCCTCCCCAAAAAACTCATATGTTGAAATCCTAATGCCCAAAATGATAATATTTGGAGGTGGAACCTTTGGGCGGTAATGAGATAATGAGAGTAAATTCCTCATGAATGTGATTAGTGCCTTTATAAAAGAAGCCCAGTGAGGATACAGTAAGTCTGTGACCAAGAAGAGGGCCCTCATTTGGCCAAGCTGACTCCCTGATCTTGGACTTCCAGCCTCCAGAGCTGTGAGAAATAAATTTCTGTTGTTTATAAGCTGCTTGGTCTGTGGTATTTTGTTATAGCAGCCAAGTGAACTAAGACTGGCATTTTTATGATTTCAGTTTTTAATATTTAGATCTCTTATCCATTTGGAGTTAATCCTGGTATGTGGTATAAAATGTGGATCCAATTTTACTTTTTTCAATAACATTTATTAAATAATCAATTTTTCCCTAGAGATCAAAGGTTCTACAATTCCATTAATCTGAATGTCTATTCAGGTGCCAGTAACCAGTATTTTAGTGACAGAGACTTTATAACATCTCTTAAATCTCTGTTCTCTTCTTTTTCTAGGCATTTTCTGGCTCTTCTTTAATTTTCTTGCTTAATGAATTTAAATTTGGGGGTGCCTGGGTGGCTCAGTCGTTAAGTGTCTGTCTTCTGCTCGGGTCATGATCCCAGAGTCCTGGGATCGAGCCCCACATCGTGGTCCCTGCTCGGCGGGAAGTCGACTTCTCCCTCTCCTACTCCCCCTGCTTGTGTTCCCTCTCTCGCTGTGTCTCTCTCTGTCAAATAAATAAAATCTTTAAAAAAAATGAATTTAAATTTGTGTCTACCACCATACTTGTTAGTATTTTTATTGGGATCATATTTAACTTATATTTTAATTTATATATCAAATATCCTATCCATGTTCAGAGAATTAACCTCATTATAATATATTGGTTTAGCCCATGTATTCTCAATAAGGGTGATCCTGCCTTCCAGGGGTTGAAAATTGGTGTTGGGCAGGGGTGGAGTGAAGAAATCTTAGATACAGTAATGGTTTGTGACTCTCCAAAACTCAGTTTAGCCAACAAAATCTTATTCCTCATTATTTACTCTCTCACTGGCATTTCTTGGGTATCACATGAACAGCACTGACACTGAGGTCACAGAAGATATATGTATGCAAGGTAAATGCTACCAAAAAAGATCAGTGCTCCTGTGGCAAATAGGTGGCTGTAAATGGAGACCTTTCTCTCAAATGATTGCTCAATCTTGAAGTTGTATCGCAAGAGGTGGCCTTGCATGGCTGCCATGTGGATGTTGTTTATGTTTGATCATGTTTCTGTGTTTGACTTGGTATTTGAGGATTAAATAAAAAGAATGTTTTATTATTCTATAAAGTTATTCAACATGTCTCATAAGAGACAAATTTGGACTTAGCCAAGGAATGACTTTATCCAAAGGATCACTGCAGTGAGGGAAGGAAGACTTGTAATTGGGAGAACATTCCATCCATAAGACCTGCAGGCATTTAAAAGGTCAGGCAGAAAAGAATTTTCTTTTATAAGGAGGGTAAACAAGGCCAGAAAGAAGTGGATGTGGCAGCGTGGGATGAGTGGGTGGTCAGTTGTGTAGATTGTGTTCTCTGCAGTCAGCTGGGGAGCGGCTTGAGTCATTGTTAAGAGGGTTGTTTGTATTCCTATGCTGGCACAGAATACAGGGTAGGCCAAAGTTCAAGGGCCTGGAAGGAGAGAAGTCTGACTAAAGTTTGGTCAAGTGAAGTTATCACGCATTTTGTCCAGATTAGTCAGTGGGGTCCAACAGCTCATCTAGTCATTTATGAGACAAAGAATGGCCATTTGGAGGCTCTGCCCGGCCTTGTTTGTTAAAAAGGGGGGGGGAGGGGTCATCTTCCAGTCTTATCTAAGTTATATGGGGAAGGGAGATTGATTTCATTCAGCTGTGTCCTAGTCCATAAAGATTGAGGGGGTATCTCTCATCGTGGCTATTTTTCAGGATCATAGATCTTGGGTAAAGTTTAACATTGTGAAACCCATCAATTACATCAAATGCTGAGAAGTTAAAATGTTGACAGTATGAGAATGAAGATCAACTAGTTAAAAGTTTCTTCTATCTAGTAAAAGTTAAGTTCACTAAAAATAATTTTTAAGAAATTAATTTTTTAGTTGTTTTACTTTTTTCTAGAAAAGAATGGTTTTGAATGATATGTTAAAAATTTGATTACACTGTTTATATTATATACTTACATAAATGCATATACTATAGTATATCTGTCCTATTAAAATTTCATGGTAGAGGGGGACAGTTAGGAAAAAAAAGTGTCTAAAATGGTTCTTCAGGGGCGCCTGGGTGGCTCAGTCATTAAGCGCCTGCCTTCAGCTCAGGTCATGATCTCAGGGTCCTGGGATCGAGCCCCACATCGGGCTCCCTGCTCAGCGGGGAGTCTGCTTCTCCCTCTCCCACTCCCCCTGCTTGTGTTCCCTCTCTCGCTGTGTCTCTCTGTGTCAAAGAAATAAATAAAATCTTTAAAAATAAATAAATAAAGTGGCTCTTCAGAGGGGCAGTGATGGAAAAAGATGTTGAGAAATGCTGTTCTAACCATTTGTTCAAATCTATTTTTAGGTCTTTCAGGAGTATTTCAAGTTTTTCTTGCAGGTTTTATACATTTCTTGTCAAACTTGGGCCTAGGTATTTCATCCTTTTTGTGGCTTTTCTTTATTATATTTTCTATGTGATTATTGTTTTATATATAAAGGTCATTTCTTTTCATGCCAATTTTATATCCTGCTAATTTACTAAGTTGTTTTTTTTTTTCTTTCATTGCACTCATGGGGTTTTTAGGCATGCTGTCATATCTCATAGAGGGAGTTTGCCTATTCTTTTGTTATTCTTGTTGCTCTTGTTGATTTCTCTTGCCTTTTTATATTGACTAATATAGCTAATACAATGATAAGTGATAGAGTAGTGGGTATTCTTTCCTTGTTTCTACTGTAAACCTGGAAATAGAGTGCTGCCATGAGAGGCAAATGAGCATTTATTAGGATAAAAAATTTTCAGTTCAGGGAGTGCAGATTCAGATAGAAACCAAATAGTGTCCCACTTGTAGAGTAAAAGCAAGGATTTTTTTTTTTTTTAACATGAGTTAAGAGAAAAAAAAAAAAGCTGAACTACTCTTGGTTATACACTGATTGACTACTGATTATTTCTTCAGAAAGTCCACAACTCCCGTCAGTCTTATGATCAGGATCTGTTCTCCTGCTGACATTTCAAGCAGTTGCCTGAAACAGTTGCTGTTTTCCCAGTCTACAGGTTTTGACCCAGTTCAAACGGAGAGGCATAAGGCAGTTTCTCTGGAGTGGTCCATCTAGCTTCATTTTAAAATGGCTCCATTCATGTCAGTTTTCCCGACCATCATTAAAATAGTCATCAATTCCTATTTCTTGTGTTCTTATCAGGAATGGATGGTAAATTTTATGAAATTTTTTTGGCATTTATGAAGATAGTATGATTTTCTTCCTTACAACGATTAATATCGTGGATTATATAAGTGTACATTCTAATATCAAACCATCTTTTTATTACAGAGAAAGTCCCACTTAATTATGATTTTTTTTTAACATGCTGTTGGATTTTTGTTTGCTGGTATGTCACATTTTGCAGTAGTATTTGTGATATAATAATATATTTGGTTTTTATCCCCCTTTCTTGGCACAGAGCTCCTAACCGCCTTGGAATTTTCTGAGTGATAGGAGTGTCTTTCATTTTTCATAACAAGCCCCTGAATTTATGCTGATGAAGTGGCTAGGGTGGGCCCCTAGATAGTCTCAGAATGGAGTTGGGGTTACCAGAAAGACTAAGTGATTAGAGGATTGGAACTTTCCAACCCATCCACTGACCTCCAGGAAAAGGGTGGGTGACACCGGAGGTTAAGGGCCATACAAACTCTTGCACTAGGAGATTCAATGAGCTTCTGGGTTGGTGAACACATTGAGCTGTTGTGAAGTTGGCATTCCCAGAGAGGGCATGGAAAGCCCCAAGCATTCCCCCTGCCAATACCTTGTCCTATGCATCTTTTCCATTTGGCTGTTCCAGAGTTGTATCCTTTAGCCATCCTAACAAAGTATAAAACTTAGGAGGAGATTGTGGGAGCCCCCAGTTTATAGCTGGTTGGTCAGAAGTACTGATGGCCAGGGATTTCAGTTTAGCTTCTGGAGTTAGGAGCAGCCTTATGAGATTGACCCCTTAAGCTGTGAGAGCAAAGCATCTCACTTCATACTTGTATGTATGTGTTGGGGAGGGATACCTGGGGAAGCTGTGCTCCCCAGGGCTTCCTAGGTATGCCCCTATACTAAAAGTGTGAGATACCCTGGAAAACTAGCACCCTCTGAGGTCCTGTTAAGGATCATGGGGATTAAGGAAAAATCTGGCATGAATTCCTTCTGCCACAGCTATATTCCAATGGATTTGAAGGAAGGCTAAGATTTTTCCAAACTCCCTCAAAGAGGTGATATAAAAGTAGTTCCAAGGTGCTTATTCTGTGGGCTCTGAGGCAGTCCTGACCTCATGGCTTCTTTTTCCATCTCTAGCTCTGCCTTCTTTGGACTCTGCACATCTCCAGGAGAAGAACCCAGAAAACCGATCAGTCCTGACAGTTCTAAAAAACATGCCCCATGTGAGTTGCTATTTCATTTTTCCTCCTTCGAGCACAATCATTTGTTGTGTGATGTGAACACCAGATTTATTTATCCCCAAATTTCCTGCCTGCCTTAGTTGCCTAAGGGAACTGCTCCCCAATTTTCCCCATTCCAGTGACTGATCCTAGCAAAGAGCTCCATTCTCTAAATGCTTTTCCCCTCACCAGACAGTGTTTAGGTGTTTTTTCCAGCTCATTCTACATATTTTATATGCACAGTCTTCTGCCAGGAGCCCTAAGGAAGCAGAAATGTCTCCCCTTAAGAGCAGTATTAGTATAATGGTTTGGTGAGGTAGTTACAGGGGACCCATAACAAACTGATCTCTACAAACCTAGGTTTCCCACTTGGAAGTGACAGCATTTCTGCTGGATGTTCCAAGTCTCAGTGTGTGATGACATTTTCTGTGAGGCTTTTAAGATTGGGTGGGGAGGGCGCCTGGGTGGCTCAGTTGGTTAAGCGACTGCCTTCCGCTCAGGTCATGATCCTAGAGTCCCGGGATCGAGTCCCGCATCGGGCTCCCTGCTAGGCAGGGAGTCTGCTTCTCCCTCTGACCCTCCTCCCTCTCATGCTGTCTCTCATTCTCGCTCTCAAATAAATAAAATCTTTAAAAAAAAAAAAAAAGATTGGGTGGGGAACTAAAGTCTGAGAAGGAAGAGATCTTGCCTCTTGTATAGTTTCCTGTTGATGTTGTAACAAATTATTACAAACTTAGTAACTTAAAACAACCCAAGTTTATTATCTATACTTCTGGAGGTCAAAGTCTGAAATTGGTTTTACAGGCTAAAATCAAGGTGTTGGTAGGTCTGTGTTCTTCTGGAGGTTCTAGAGGAGAATCTGTTTGCTTGCATTTTTCCAGCTGCTGTAGGCTGCCCACATTCCTTGGCTCATGGCTCCCTTCCATTTTCAGAGCCAGCGATCATCATTCTGACTTCTGCTTTCATTATCACATCTCCTTCTCTGACTCTTCTGTCTGCCTCTGTTACTTAAAATACCCTTATGGTTACATTGGGCCCAACCTGATAATCCAGGATAATCTATCCATCTAAAGATCCTAATCACATCTACATTTGTCATATAAGGTTACATATTCAAAGGTTCAGGGATTCAGATGTGGACATCCTTGCGGGGCTGTTATTCCATGTACCACAACCTTCTTGCCCAGGAACCAATGAGAGGATGATCAGCAGTCAGGTTTACCTTGGAGTTGGCCAGAATGTGTCTGTGATTCCTATAGCACCTAGATTGGCACCCATCAGCTTGCACAAAAGGAGGTAGAAATAAAATCTGCCAAATGCCTACTCTCTTGAAAACTGTAGATTCTTAGGGCTCAAAGACATTAGAGAACGTAATTGAAATACTCCCAAATAAGCAGATCATTTCATCCATAAAATGGAAATATCAATTATATTCTGTGACATAATATTGTGACTTGAAGAATTTGAATCTTCAAAATATTCTTTTTTTAAAAAAGATTTTATTTATTTATTTATTTGTTTAGAGAGAGAGAGTGTGTGTGTGTGTGTGTGTGAGTGGGAGGAGGGGCAGAAGGAGAGGGAGAGAGAGAATCCCAAGCAGACTCCCTGCCAAGCGGGGAACGCCATAGAAGGGCTCGATCCCAGGACCCTGGGATCATGACTTGAGCTTAACTGACTGAGCCACCCAGGCACCCGCCCCAAATTCTATGTTTAGCCTAGAGATTTATTAAAAATTATTTGGAAACATGTCACTAAATTTGTTTACATTTTTCTTCAAGGGGAGAAGAGAAGGAAAGAACTCATATTTATTGAGAATTATTGTTTTTTGAGAATTTGAAAGCTTAATATTCTGTGTGACTGCGTATACCATTTCATTTAATTAGAGAGCTACATTCATCTGGCCTTTTGTATTCCTGGATTTTTCTGGATAATAGAATTATCCTATTTTACATAGGAAATTTTATCTTCCTCTCTAGCAATAGGAGTGATCATGGATCATGTTGACACTATAGTTCAGGCACCTAATTTCCTTTAATGTTACAAGGTGTTCAGCCATGACCTATTTACTGTGTCATCCCCTTCCTTCATGCCCTCCTCTTTTTACCTCAAAGTCATTGTCATATTTTCACCAATAATAAATGGACTTGTTTCAGTGGTTGGTGACTTTCAAGGATGTGGCCATCGACTTCTCTCAGGAGGAGTGGGAATGCCTTAACTCCACTCAGAGGGACTTGTACAGGGATGTGATGTTGGAGAACTACAGCAACCTGATCTCCCTGGGTAAGATCATCTCCTACAATACTCAGAACTTGTCTCCCATATTTTCTGCCTGTGTCATTATGATTTTCTGGTTTTTATTCCCTAAGGAAAGGTTTGAGTTTTTTGGAGATAGAAGTGTAACTGAACTCGAATAGTTCACTGCTTGTTGTGCAGCAAATTGCACACAATCCAAGGAAATGTTGAAAGTAAAGAACTTTTTATTACTTGTTACAAGTAAGGAAACCAGGAGATCGTTCTGAAAGCACTGTCTCCCTGTGGGGTTAGTATAGGAAGTTTTTATGCAGGGTGCAGGGGCAGGGAGCTCATATGGGCACTTCTGGTCCAGTTGCACATGTCGAGCATTTCAACGTGCCAGTGTGTACATTGTATGTTCAAAAAATGGCACAAAACTCTACTCATAGGAAGAGATCTTAGTAGTATTTTTTTTTTAAGATTTTATTTATTTATTTGACAGAGAGAGAGACAGCAAGAGGGAACACAAGCAGGGGGAGTGGGAGAGGGAGAAGCAGGCTTCCTGTGGAGCAGGGAGCCCGATGCGGGGCTCGATCCCAGGACCCTGGGATCATGACCTGAGCCGAAGGCAGACGCTTAACGACGGAGCCACCCAGGCACCCCCTTAGTAGTATTTTTTAAAATTTAAATTCAATTAGCCAACATGTAGTACATCTCAGTATTACAGTGAGCTAAAGGTAACTTCAGGTCAGCTCAGGGGAGCTTCTGTGCAGGTCCTCAGCTCCCTTCCAGCTCAACCTGACTCACATCAGGGGCTACTGGGCTAGACGCACTTAGCAAGGGGCTATCAGGTAAAACACCTACTTAGGTGTCTCCTTGGCTGGAACTGTTGGTTCTGCAAAACAAGACACCTTCCTTCCCTGCTTTTGTCCCTTCTCTTCCTCTCTTCCACTGATAGCTTTAAGACACATTTATTATTTGAATAACTTCCCCTTGCATCCTAGATAACAGAAGTAGACAGCTTCACTGTGTATGCTTTCTTATTTCTCATCCTTCAGACCTTCACATTTTCCTCTGTCACTTCCTTCAGTGTCTCTCTTTGGTGACCAATGGACTGGATTTGAATCTGGGACTCCCGTACCATGATCATATCCCATTTCTTTTAAGCTGGTTGTTCGATCCCTAAACCAGATGTATTTTCTTTATTGGAGCAAGGGAAGGACCCCTGGATGGTGATGAGAGCCATGACAAGAAGAAGGAGCTCAGGTGAATAAAGAGCTAGTCACATAAGAGCAGCTCTTGTTGATAATACAGCTGGTCTGTGACATGGCAGCACTTTGAGATGTTTGTGTGAAGCTCTCTCTTCAAATGCCTGTGGAAGGAAGTCTAAGGTCTCAGCAGGAAGGTGATATCAATATGAGTTCCCAAAGGAACTTCCCTTCCACCTCACATTTACCACTCTTCCTCTCTCATTTTCCCCTTTAGTTTTAATGAAGAAACTACCTTTGGTTTCTTCCAGAGATAATTCTCTTATTTCTTTTTTAATTGAGTTGGTATCTCCAGCCAGCAAGTGTTTGTTGAGAGCTTGCTGTGTTCTTAGATTAGGATAATCAGGGATGATCTCCCAGAGGAGCTAATTTTGAACTGAGGCCTAAATGAAATTAGCCATGCCAAAAAAAAAAAAAAAAAAAGTGTGTGTTTAGGCAGATGGAACAGAAGTGCAAAGGTCCTGAGGAAATGCTGAACTTCACTTATTTGAGGATCGGCAGGAAGGTTGTGTGGTTAGAACGAGGAGAGTGAAAGTGGAAATTAATGATGAAGTCAGAGAAATAGGCAAAGAACAGGTCGTATAAGGCCACATAGGCCATTGCAAGGAATGAGATTTTATTCTAAGCATAAGAAGCCTTGGAGGTTTTGTGCAGGTGAGTAGGGGATCTTTGTTTAAAGATCACTCTGGGTGCTTGTGTAGAATGAGGATAAGAATGAAAGCAGGAAGATCAGTTAGAGGACTAGTTCAGGATTCCACATTAGAGATAATAGTGGCTTGGAATGGGGTTTAATATGTGAAGGTGATGAGAATGTGTTATAGTCTGGTTATATTTGAGGGTAAAATTGACAGGATTTGCTGAAGGATTAGAAATAGAAAGAAGCATCAGAATTTGGAAGCTTGCAGAAGGAAGTCAAGAGTAATGCATTTGAGATGGCCATTAAATATCCTTAATAGAGAAGTTAGATAAGCATTTAAAAGCCTGCAGGATGGTAGTCAGGACTGAGGAATAAATATGAGGTTAATCTCTGGATTATGGGGTTAGATGAGATCATGGAGGGAATTGATCTAGATGGAAGTCAAGGTGAAGTCCAGGGTCTAAACCATGGGGCATTCCAGCACTTAGCTAGGAAAAGGAAAATGATCCAGCAAAGGAAATTCAGGAGTTACTTAAGTAACCTATGATCTAGGATGCAGTCAGGAATGCGGAGGACTGGAAGCCAATGACAAACACAAGAAGGGAGCGGTGAACTGTGAGAGATGCTGCTATGAGGTCAAGGAGGATGAAGGATGAGACCTGGCTATTGGATTTGGCAAGACAAAGGGTACTGGTGACCCAGACAGAGTAGGTTTGGAAATGAGAGGAATGACAACCTGATTGTAGAGGATTAAAAAGAGAATAGGGGCGCCTGGGTGGCTCAGTTGGTTGAGCGACTGCCTTCGGCTCAGGTCATGATCCTGGAGTCCCTGGATCGAGTCCCGCATCAGGCTCCCTGCTCGGCAGGGAGTCTGCTTCTCCCTCTGGCCCTCCCCCCTCTCATGTGCTCTCTCTCATTCTCTCTGTCTCAAATAAATAAATAAAATCTTAAAAAAAAAAAAAAAAAAAAAGAATAAGCCAACAATAAAAACTGTTGTGGGACAGTGACTTAACTCACCAGGCAGTATTGAGGGCCCATTTGAGGAATTCTCAAAAGTACAAATAGAGTTTTAAAATGTATTAGAAGTTTGGGCGCCTGGGTGGCTCAGATGGTTAAGCGTCTGCCTTCGGCTCAGGTCATGATCCCAGAGTCCTGGGATCGAGTCCCACATCGGGCTCCTTGCTCCTTGGGAGCCTGTTTCTCCCTCTGCTTCTCTCTCTCTCTGTCTCTGTCTCTCGTGAATAAATAAAAAAAAAAAAAAAAAAAAATCTTAAAATGTATTAGAAGTTTTTAATAATAGTGCTATGATAATTAGGACAAAGAAGTATGATTCAAGTTTGTATATGTAGTACTATTTCAACTGCATAAAAGTGCAAGGAAAAAGCCTAGAAGGAAATATGACAAAAATGTTAAGTTCTGAGGGTGGGAGAGAAAGGGGGGAAAATTATTGAAAGGAAATAACAGACATCTCTTTTGAGAAGTTTTACCAGGAAGGAGTACAGTAAATGAATAGGAGCTGCAGGGTGAACCGTAGAATCAAAGGAGAGGTTGTTTTGTTTTTATTTCAAAGGAGTCTTTAAGATGGAGATAAATATTGGAGAGATGGTACAAGAGTAAGTGATCAGGAAATATGGGTGTTAGTGATCAGAAAGGATGGTTACTCGAAATTGAGATTTTGAGGGTCTTGCCATAATTGGAAATAACAAGGTCTATTATGTCTACTGTGGGGGGAAGGTAGGTGGAATGAGGTGGAGGAAAATAGTGCTTCAGAGGAAGCAGTGTGCTCAAGGTTGCAAACAGAACAAGAGGTGAAGAGAACACACAGAAGGGAAGGAGGCTGAGGTTGCAGAGTATTTGCAGAAAGTATACTGTGAGTTCCTGAAGGCCTGCTGATTAGAGTGCAAGAGAATACTGTGTCACAATAAAAGATGTCTAGACCCAGAATAGGAAGAGAGTCTTAATGTTGAACAAGGACGCAGGAAACCAGGGCTTTCCAGGAGTACTGGGATACCCAGGTATCCCAATTCCAGGATTGGTCCTGGAGTAGTTTCTCTGGGGAAGATGAGTACTTCTTCCTATTATAACCTAAGGGTAGTGGCATTGTTGGACTAAGAGCTGATGGAAGTCAAGCCTTCCTGGGAGAAGCCAGCATTAATAGCAGGATATGGAGGTCTTACCAACATCCAAAGCTCTGGGGGCTTCTCTTGTAGGCTGTAGTGGGTGGAGTGGCTGTCTTAATATAAGAGAGAATTACAGGTGCAGCATTGCTGGAGTCTGGGATTGGGGACAGCTTTTCAGGAATAGCAAAGGGACGTGAAGTTTCAGGTGAGCCCTGAAAGGATGTAAAGCAGGTAGGGAGGCTGAGGGTAGAGGGAAGGAGCATTCCTGGCAGAGGCAACAGTGTACTGAAGGCCATAGGAGGATGGAGCTTGGTGTAATATGAGGTATTCAAAGAAGGCCCTTATAGCTGGAGCCTAGTGAGGGACAGATGCCAGGTGTGAGTTTGGAAGAGTCTGGCAGGGTCTAGGCCAGGAAGAACCTTCTAGGGGTTATAAAAATGACTTGGTAGAGGTGCTTGGGTGGCTCAGTTGGTTAAGCATCTGACTCTTGATTTTGGCTCTGGTCATGATCTTGAGGTCCTGGGATGGAGCCACATCATCGGGATCCGCGTTCAGTGGGGAGTCTGCTTGAGGATTCTCTCCCTCTTCCTCTGCCCCTCCTCCCACTTGGCACACGTGCCTTTTCTCCGTCTCTAAAATAAATAAATAAATCTTTAAAAAATGACTTGTGGAAAAAAAAATGACTTGTGGGTTATGAGCAGCATTTTTAAAAATATTTTGGTTTTGTTTTGTTTCTTAAAGAAAATAACAGAAGAAGAAAAAAAATTTTTTTTTAATATTTTATTTATTTATTTGACAGAGATAGACACAGCGAGAGAGGGAACACAAGCAGGGGGAGTGGGAGAGGGAGAAGCAGGCTTCCCGCCGAGCAGGGAGCCCGATGCGGCGCTCGATCCCAGGACCCTGGGATCACGACCTGAGCTGAAGGCAGACGCTTAAGGAATGAGCCACCCAGGCGCCCCCAGAAGAGAACATTTTTTTAAAAAATCAAAATGCATCCCATGTAGCAAAGATAATTTCATGACCTATTTGTTTTATGTTTGTGTATTTGATCATAATATAATATGTATTTCTTATCTTTGAATTTTGTCCCCAAAGCATTTGCAAGCTAATGAAGAATCTTAAGTAGGACAGTGAAACAATGCAATTTACATATTTAATATATCATTCTTGACTGCCAGATGGAGATTAGAAGAAAGGGTCTCAGGACATGACTGAGTAGGTTATTGTTCAAACAAGAGGTTCAAACAAGAGGTGCTTTGGGCTTTCTCACAGTGTTGCTAGTGCCATTGGGGATAAGAATCAGATTCAAGAGCAGTTTAGTAGATCAGTTCAGCAGGAGTTGAGGGGTGCAAGAATGAAAGAGGTCTCCCCAAATGACTTCTGCTTTTCAGACTCCATTTTGTCATCTTCAGCCATTACCTCTTTTTCAGTTTTCTCATTTTTTCTTCCATTAATTTAATGACAACAAAAATAACAATTTAATCATGTTATTATAACATGGAGAGCAGTTGGGTCTAAACTGGATTTATTTGATCCCTTACACTGTTCCCTTAATCACAATATTCCAGTTGGGTTCTTTCCTAGTGTTTTGTAAACCATATTGTGCTTCTCTTTCAAAAACAAAGTAAAAGCCAAATATCTCATCCCAGTAAATTTTGCTGACATGAGTTGACGTTAAACTGAGCTGTGTGGGATTTTTTGTTTTTGTTTTTGTTTACAATTTCTTTCTGCTTTTCAGCAAAAGCATGTTTTCCTTGGATTTCTGACTCATTTCTTTTTTTAAAAAATTTTTAGAGAGGGGAGGGGCAAAGAGAGGGTGAGAGAGAGAATCTTAAACAGGGTCCACGCCCAGCGCAGAGCCTGATGGGGGGCTCAGTCTCACAACCCTGAGATCATGACCTGAGCTGAAATCAAGAGTCAGATGTTTAACCGACTGTACCACCCAGGAGCCCCTCTGATTCATTTCTAAAGACTGTTTACATTTGGTTTTGCTGATTTGTGTTGATTTTCTTTCTTAATATCATCCTCTTTTATATTCTACAGCCTATGTGCAGTGCTGTTAAGAGACTGTGCATCATGCTCTAGTCATATTGGATAGTGTTCTTCTACATTAAAAGTTATACCTATTCATCTTTGTTCAGAATAACTTAAAACTTTCTTTACTGTGTAAACTTGTCATTCTTTCTAGAATATTTTAGAGATGCTTTTCTGGGAAATAAAACATTTGGCCTTGAGTGGAATGTACTGGGAAGGAAGACCTGAAAAAATGTATAATGGGAAAAAGAAAATATTGTGTATGCTTTCTATGTTCTGGGGAATATAAACAGGCATATTTTTTCTACACTTGTAAAGCTTGAGGAGTAGGAAGACCAACATAAACAAATGAAATATAATTCTAGAATTGGAAAAATTGAAACAAGTATAGAGATTAAGATAAAGCACAGACTCAATTAGAGTTTTCCGGGATAGTCTTTCTGAGCAGCTGCCATTTAAGTTAGGACATTTCAGACAAAAAAGAATTGGCCAGGCAGAGAGCATTTCTCGCAGATGGAACAGCATGTGAGAGTCCGAAATGGGAAAGAATTTGATATGTTCCAGGAACTTAAATAAAGCCAGTAAGGTTAGAGCATTGTTTCTGAAGATAGTAATGGTTCAAAATGAGGTCAGAAAGGTAATCAAGGAATGGATCATGCAGGGGCTTTTAGTCCGTGAACAGGAATTTGGATTTTATTTGAAGTAGAAGGGGTAAACCATTGAAAGGTTTTAAGCTGTATTTTCAAATTTTTTTCTATACCAGAAGCATCTGGGGAGATTGATAAATGAAGGAAAATTTGCATTTTTAAAGTTGCTGACAAATATTGAGCATCAATATGCAAGCAATGGTTCTAGGCACTAAAAATAAAGCAGAGAATGAAGCAAAGTCATTGCTTTGATTAAGCATGGGGGAGACAGACAAGGAACTTTAAAAATAGTATATCCATTAGTAATAAATGTAATATAGGTGCAATTCCATATTGGGTGTTTTGATAATGTGACATTTGAGCAGAAAACTGAAGTGAGAGAGCAGATATCTGGGGAAAGAGCATTCCAAAAGGTAAACACAGAGGCACATGCTTGGCATTTTTGAACAGCAAGGAAGCCATTGTGGTGAGAACAGAATGAATAATTAGGAGTGGTAAGAGATGACATCAGAGAAGGGCAAACGCATGTAGAGTAAGGTCTTGTGGGCCCTAATAAGTAAGGACTTTGGGTATTATTCTGAGATGGTAAACTCTTAGAAGATTTTTGCAGGGGAGTAATGTGATATGAATTACATTTTTTTTAAGATTTTATTTATTTATTTGACAGAGAGAGACAGCAAGAGAGGGAACACAAGCAGGGGGAGTGGGAGAGGGAGAAGCAGGCTTCCCACTGAGCAGGGAGCCCAACGTGGGGCTGGATCCCAGGACCCCCGGGATCATGACCTGAGCCAAAGGCAGACACTTAATGACTGAGCCCCCCAGGTGCACCTGAATTACAGTTTAATTTTTTAATTTTTTTTTTAAGACTTTTTTTTTTTATTTATTCATTTGACAGAGAGAGAGATAGTGAGAGCAGGAACACAAGCAGGGGCAGTGGGAGAGGAAGAAGCAGGCCCCCCGCTGAGCAGGCAGCCCGATGCAGGGCTCAATCCCAGGACCCTGAGACCATGACCTGAACCGAAGGCAGACGCTTAACGACTGAGCCACCCAGGCACCCCTGAATTACAGTTTTAAAGAATTCTTCTGGTTTCTGTGTGAAGAACAAAGGGTAGGGGCCAAGTTCAAAGAACAGAGACCAGTCAAGAGGCTATTACAGTGAGAGACAGGTGGTTTGGCCTAGGGCAATAGTAGTGGATATGGTCAGATAGTTGATAAACTTTAATAAGAGAGGTAATAGGACTTGTTCATAGATTGGATATGTACCCAGACATTTGATCGAATGTTTCCAGGGTATGGTTTTTGCTGTTATTTTATAAGCTTCCTTGGTTGGATTCTAATCCACTCCAAAGTTTAAGAACCACACACTTAAACTGTTTCTCTAATTACTTTCCTTCCTATAAACTCCCCTTATTCTATGTTTTCTCCTTATGCCTTTTATTTTAATTGCACAAAATATTTCAGCACTGTTTAAGCCATTCTGTTCTTATAAGAATTTTTACTTTTTCTACCATTTTTACTTCAGAAGTTTCATTTCTCCTTGTAAACAGAAGCAGCAGGAATTTGCTTTCTTGTTATCTTCCAGACTTGGAATCCAGTTGTGAGACTAAAAAGTCATCTCCAGAAAAGGGAGCTTATGAAATGGAATCACTGCAATGGGAGAGTATGAGGAAACCTATCAGTCATAACCTTGATTACAATGGTCTTAGAGATACGATGGAGGGCAAAGGAAAGTTTGAGGGTCAACAGGAAGGTCAGGAAGGACTTTACATGCACATGAAAATAACCTGTGGAGAAAAGGCCACTCAAAGCCATTCTGTGTCACCTATTCTTCATCAGATAAATCCTACCAAGGAAAAATTGTACAAATGTAAGAAATGTGAACAAGCTTTCAACTACCTGTCATGCCTTACTCAACATGAGAAAAGCCATAATAAAGAAAAACACTCTGAAGTTAAGAAACATAGGAAGACCTTCAGCAAAAAGCCAGCCTGTATTCAACATCAGAGGATTCAGAATGGTGAAAAGCCTTATGAGTGTATGGAATGTGGGAAGGCTTTTGGCCGTAGTTCTGATCTGATTCAACATCAGAAAATTCATACTAATGAAAAACCTTACCAGTGTAAGGCATGTGGGAAGGCTTTTATTCGCGGTTCACAGCTCACTGAACATCAGAGAGTTCATACAGGAGAGAAACCATATGAATGTGAGAAATGTGGAAAAGCCTTTAGTTATTGTTCACAGTATACTCTACATCAGAGAATTCATAGTGGTAAAAAACCCTATGAATGTAAGGAATGTGGGAAGTCCTTTATCCTTGGCTCTCAACTCACTTACCATCAGAGAATTCATAGTGGTGAGAAACCCTATGAGTGTAAGGAATGTGGAAAGGCCTTTATTCTTGGTTCACACCTTACTTATCATCAAAGAGTTCATACTGGTGAAAAGCCTTACAGATGTAAAGAATGTGGGAAGGCCTTTTTATGTGCCTCCCAACTTAATGAACATCAGAGAATCCATACAGGTGAAAAACCCTATGAATGTAAAGAATGTGGGAAGGCCTTTTTTCGTGGCTCACAACTAACTTACCATCTGAGAGTTCATACAGGTGAGAGACCCTATAAATGCAAAGACTGTGGGAAAGCCTTTATTTCTAATTCTAATCTTACTCAACATCAGAGAATTCATACAGGTGAAAAACCCTACAAATGTAAAGAATGTGAGAAGGCCTTTATTTGTGGCAAACAACTTAGTGAACATCAGAGAATTCATACAGGTGAGAAACCCTTTGAATGTAAGGAGTGTGGAAAGGCTTTTATTCGTGGTGCATATCTTACTCAACATGAGAAAATTCATGGTGAGAAGCATTATGAATGTAAGGAATGTGGGAAGACCTTTTTTCGTGCCACACAACTTACATATCACCAGAGAATTCATACAGGTGAGAAACCCTACAAATGTAAGGAATGTGACAAGGCTTTTATTTATGGCTCACAACTTAGTGAACACCAGAGAATTCATAGAGGTGAAAAACCCTATGAATGTAAGCAATGTGGGAAGGCCTTTATTCGTGGCTCACATCTTACTGAACATCTAAGAACTCATTCCGGTGAGAAACCCTATGAATGTAAGGAATGTGGGAAGGCCTTTAGTCGTGGCTCAGAACTTACTCTACATCAAAGAATCCATACTGGTGAGAAACCTTATATGTGTGTTCAATGTGGTAAAGACTTTAGACGTCATTCACAACTTGCTCAACACATGAGGCTTCATAATTGAAAAAGCCTTGAATATGATTTAATATAAGAAAGGCTTTAATGTCTTCATCACCTCTGGAATGTTAGAGAACCCATATTATGTTCGTAATGAATTTAGGACATCCTTTTGTTTGTGCTCAAAATCAACTCATTTTTAGAAAGCCTGTATTAATGAATGCAGAAATAACTTCTGGAACCCATTATACATTTTTAAGAATCTCTGTAACCTTGGAATGGAATGCTGGAGTATATCCTTTATTGAGCACCATCTCTATTTCACCATTTCCTGTGAAATTGGAGAAGTTACTTAACCTCTCTGTGCCTCAGTTTCTTTGTGTAAAATAATGTAATGATATCACATTGATTAAATTATAAATGATGATGCAACTCCCTTTGGACAGTATCGGATACTCAGTATCTGTTATTATTGCTTCTATCATCATTATTATATGTTATTAGAGAAGTCAAATGGTAAGAATATTTTTGAGTACAGTAAGATGTAAGCATTTTATTACCATCTATTCCCTTTTTTGTTTTTGTTTTAGATTTTATTTATTTGAGAGAGAGAGCACATGCGCACAGGTGAATGGGGGGTGTAGCTGAATGGGGAGCCCGATGGGCTCAATCCCAAGACCCCGGGATCATGACCTGAGCCAAAGGCAGATGCTTAACCGACTGAGCCACCCAGGGGCCCCCCTTTTTGTTTTGTTTTTACCATCTATCCCTTTTTGAACACCAGATAATTTATTCTATGACAGAAGCTTTAGAATATAATAAGGGCAGGAAGCTCTCCATTTTAGAGCTCATAAATTTTGCTGCACCAGATAATTCATACTGCAAACAAATTATAGAAGAAATTCCTTTAGAGTTATAGAGCTTTTTTATAAAATCAAGGAGAGGTGATTTTTCTAAAGCAAATTCCAAAAGCAGAAGTTGTTATTCCACATTTTCTAATTACTACTTTAAGGGAAAAATAATATATCAACAAAATGATAGCCAAGTAGCTCCATTAAAAGAAAAAAAACTACTAAAAGAAGAAAAACTATGGGGGCGCCTGGGTGGCTCAGTCGTTAAGCGTCTGCCTTTGGCTCAGGTCATGGTCCCAGGGTCCTGGGATCGAGCCCCGCATCAGGCTCCCTGCTCTGCGGGAAGCCTCTCCCTCTCCCACTACCCCTACTTGTGTTCCCTCTCTCACTGTGTCTCTCTCTGTCAAATAAATAAATAAAATCTTGGGGCGCCTGGGTGGCTCAGTCGTTAAGCGTCTGCCTTCGGCTCAGGTCATGATCCCAGGGTCCTGGGATCAAGCCCCATGTTGGGCTCCCTGCTCCGCGGGAAGCCTGCTTCTCCCTCTCCCACTCCCCCGCTTGTGTTCCCTCTCTCACTGTGTCTCTCTCTGTCAAATAAATAAATAATTTAAAAATAAATAAATAAAATCTAAAAAAAAAAGAAAAACTATGTAAATTATTACCATCTTAAATGAGAAATCAAAATTTACCAACTACAGCTTTTTCTCGTTATCTGTATCTAATCCATTCCTGATAATATGTTGAGTAGTATATTTTCAGATGCCCAAATCTCAGAGTCTACATTGCATTATTTTAAATGGGAAAAATGATAATATGTTTCCAGCCCATTCAAATGTCTTGATTAGGTTTAAATTCAACTTAAACCACCTACTTGATTTCTCTCAGATTTCAGAATAATTTAAACATTTAAAATCCAGTAAATAAGTAAATAATTAGCAGATGATTGTGCATGCAATCATTTTATTTTTTAAAAAGATTTTATTTATTTATTTGAGAGAGAGAGAGAGTGCATGAGCAGGGGGAGGGGGAGAAGAGGGAGAAGCAGACTCCTTGCTGAGCAGGGAGCCCGACATGGGGCTCCATCCCAGGACGTGAGATCATGATCTGAGCCAAAGGCAGATGCCTCACCCACTGATCAACCCAGGCGCCCCTGCTTGCAGTGATTTTAAATATAAAGTATGGATTATGTTTTCCTTCTACACTTCAAGAAACAGATACTATGATATAAATAATGAAATGCATTAGTACATAATGGACACAAATAACAAGAAAATAAAATAATAATAATAAAAGTAAAAGTAAAATAAAAACCATTGATAGAACAATTGAAACAGAAGTTCCCAAAACAATAACTTACATTTTCTACATGTGATGCACCTTGCTGTTTTCTTTTCTTTTTTTTTTTTTTAAAGATTTTATTTATTTATTTGACAGAGAGTTAGCGAGAGCAGGAACACAAGCGGGGGAGTGGGAGAGGGAGAAGGAGAAGCAGGCTTCCTGCTGAGCAGGGAGCCTGATGTGGGGCTCGATCCCAGGACCCTGGGATCATGACCTGAGCCAAAGGCAGACGCTTAACGACTGAGCCACCCAGGCGCCCGTCTTTTTTTTTTTTTTTTTTTTTTTTAAGATTTTATTTGCAGAGAGAGAGACAGCGAGAGAGGGAACACAAGCAGGGGGAGAAGGAGAGGGAGAAGCAGGCTTCCCGCGGAGCAGGGAGCCCGATGCGGGGCTCGATCCCAGGACCTGGGATCATGACCTGAGCCTAAGGCAGATGCTTAACGACTGAGCCACCCAGGTGCCCCGCACCTTGCTGTTTTCTATTACAGTGTCTGTAATAAACACTACAGCCTACTCCATTGTCTTCACAACTTAATACTGTTCATTATCCCCACTCTGAAAAACACTGGTTTTACATTTATATTACAAAATTATAATCCAGGGGCCCCTCGGTGGCTCAGTTGGATCTGATTCTTGATTTCGGCTCAGGTCATGATCTTGGAGTGGTGAGATTGAGCCCTGCATAAGCCTCTGTGCTGAGCATGGAGCCTGCTTGGGATTCTCTCTCTCTCTCCCTCTGCCCCTCCCTGCCTTCCCCCCCTCAACACCCCCCCATGCACACATGCGCTCTCTCTCAAATTATAATCCAAATGCTAATCCGCCATTTTTAAAAGTGCAAAAAAAAAAAAAATGATTGAGAACCATTAGAACTTCCCTGAATCATTAAAGTAACACTGTGATGTTAATGCAGTCATGCATTCCCTGCTCAGATTGGACAAACTATGGCATGATTACCACACTGAATTTAAAGAAAATGTAAATAATGAAATGTAAGTAAAATGTTATTTGCTACATTGATCTTAAGTCATTGATATACATCTGGCATGTAACATATTTGCATATTGGCAGAAAATACCCAGAACCAAAATCTCCCAAAATATAATCTCCAAATACCACTGGAGAAGAGGGGCCTGTCTCATTGCATACTGCAGTGTATAACCAAATTCCCTTACTGGCCAATGAATTCCACTTTGAACAAGCCAAATTAAAAGGTTGTGAGAAGACCTGCAATAAAGAAAATATTACCATTGTTTAACCCATTGTTTACCAGTCCTAACCATGAATCCTTTCTCTTCCACAATACTTACTATCTTTGGATTATGAACACACTTTGAGAAATCCATTGCTGACCAAAAGGAATAATTATAAGAGGAAATTTAGGGCATTATGGCAGTTAATTAAATTTGGTGGGTGCTGTAGCACTTTCCTGTTCTACAATTAGTACACTATACAGGAAGAGTTCCTCTAGCTCAAGTTTTCACAACCCTTTCCCTAGTCTCTCGATCTAGATTGATTTAGTTAGATTTTTGTTCTTTATGCTGTTGTTACGAGGTTGTTTAATGTGAAACTTGAATGAATGTTAATTATCTCAGTACTTTTTATTTGTTTCATAAATTGTTTGAAACTTAGAATTTCCCTATTGAGGTAATGGTGAGGGGATAGGAATGTACACTAATCAAAGAATTAATAAAGACAAACAGAAGTGGCTGCTACACTGCTTTAGTTGCTACTTTAAGATATATTGATACCATCACGCCCATTCAAAATTAAGCTTTATTTCCCGTACATGCATATAATTTTTTTCAAAGGTCATTACGTTCCTCTTACATAGTTACATAACAAAGTTTACCCCATGCCAAAGAAATAGTGCAAATTAAAAAGAATCACGTTCACTACCTCCCGCCCATCTACTGTCAAAACTTTGGTTTTTATCTTGTGATGTTTCCCTCTGTTCTCAAATATGGTCCACCTTTGAGTCTAAAAAAAAATTATGTTTTAATGGGATAACTGTCCACTGTAACTTGTTTTATCTTGTTTTAACTTTTTATTGTAGAACATTTCAGGCATATAACAAAAATAGGATAGTAAAATGAACAGCCATATACCTGTCACATATTTTTTATTTTTTAATTTTAAATCCAGTATAGATAACATACAGTATTACATATTTTTAATAATCACTCCTATTTTACCTTTCTTGTTAATCTTCCAAATATTTTTGGCTGGGATATTTTAAAGCCAAACCAGGATATTTTAGCATTTCCCCTCTACATATTTCAGTATGTATCTTGAACAGATAAGGACTTAATATCTAGTAATTTTTCAGATATTAATGATTATAGTTGGTTTATTTGAGTCAGGATTTAAAAGACATCTGCTCATTGCATTTTATTGGTATGTCTCATACACTTGCTTTTCTGACTTTTTTCAAAATGCCTACAGAACAAAACATGAACATAGTAACAGCAATGCCATGATATATCCTCCCTATCCGCCCCCCAAACTGAGTATTCAGGTTATTTCTCTGTTGCTGCAAACCACTGCAATAAATGTCCTTATATGCTTATTCTTGCACATTTGTGTTTTTATTTCTACAGAATATAGTCCTACAGATTAGACTAAGTCAAATTATGTGTACATTTTAAATTTTAATAGATTAGGCCAAATTTTGAAAGAGTTTACATTCTCCTAATTAATGTATGAGAGTGCTCATTCCCCATACCATCACCAGGCGCAAAAAATAAGGACTTCCTTTGGAGCCATGATGGAATAAAAAGTTTAAACAAGGACTGTTATCCCCAACGAAAGAAATACAAATGAGGTGAGCACTGTGATCACACCAACTTTCTACCTGAAGACACATTCTAATAATGAGAAAAGTTATCCCAAACAGAGCATGTTGGTCTGACTGTGTTGAGAAGATGGAGATCAAAGAGATTGATGTGTCTGGAAGTTGCAGAGCAGTTCCAGAAAAAAGGAAGCTGTGCAGAGAATTTCAGAAATGTGTGAAAGGTCCTCTTCAGTCTTTCCTAATATTAAGTAGTACATGCGTAGGGTGTGATTCTACAAGACTGGGCAAAGTGTAATCAGGGAGCTGCAAGTTGTAAAACGCCCAGAGCTGACACAGGGCAGAGATATTCTAATTCTGACCCAGATGATCACCCATACCATTTGGTAGATAGCCCAGAAGAGTCACATGGTAAGAGTAGAGGTCAACTATCTCTAAAGCACTTTAGACCTGTCCTAAGCTGCTTTTTTAAAGTTTCAAAAGAATCAAGCAAGTAACCTAGCTGCCTACAGAGCAAAGCTCAACACACTAAAAGAAATACACACTAAAAGAAATGTAACAATAGCCACCATTCAAAAATGTAAATTTCACAATGTCCAGTATCTATATAAAGAAGGGGGGAAAAAGTAACACAAAACCAGAAAAAAAATCAATCAGTTGGCCAACTGAAATGGCAGGAGAAATGCTATCAGTATAAAATTACAACGGCTGTTATGCTCAATATGCTTAAGAATTTTTAAAAACTACAACATAATGAGGACAGATATGGAGGATATAAAATGGACCTTCTAGAAAAGAAAAATATCTGAGAAGAAAATTTTATTGGAGATTAAACACAGAGGAAGGAAAAATTCAGTGAACTTGAAAACATACCTGGAAAAATGAAGCACAGGTAGAAAAAGACAAAGAAAAGAGGCTTAGTAACCTGTGGGCAAATATAAAGCAGGATAAGATATATGTAAATGAGGTGTCAGCAAGATGGTAGAGTTGGTTGTCCTGGACCCTTTTTCCCTCACCAACACACTGATTCAGTAATTCTTGGAAAAATTCCCTTTGTGAGAAATCCAGAAACTAAGTGAAAGGCTTCTGCACCCAGGGAGAATGCAAAGCCAGACTCATCAAAACTCAGGGATATATGGGATCCTTCCCACCAGAGTCCTGGTATATGGTGCAACACCATATGATCAGTGAGGGACACTGGCTACCAGCTTCATGCAGGGGAGGAAAGGGGATGGTTTACCTATCCTGAACCTCAAATTTCCTGAAGAAGCTCCAACACTGATTTTGGTCTTGCCAGCTGTGGAGTTTTGACAGGTTCAGTAAAATCTAGTCACTGGGTAGAAATGGAGATGGTGGGTTGGCTGGTAGACCTTAACTCTATTCAGCACAGAGCAAACAGATGAAAAATCCCAGACCTCAGCTTCCCCATGGGGAAAAAAAGAGTTGATCTGTGTGTCCAACAACCCAATGCTGCCATGGCTGCCCAACAAACTGGGATTTACTTAATTTTAATGGGTCTAGCACAGTCTATCCACCTGTGGGAGAACGGAGACAATGGTTTCAACTGATAAATGCCACAACCCTCCCTTTGTAGGTCAGCACAGAGGGAGTAGGCAAAAATAATAGCTTCTTACTTTTTCCTGGGGAAAGAAAGAGTACATACAGTTTCCCAGATAAAGATGGAGGTTGGCAGAGAATTTAAAAATATGATTCAACTATATATTGGATACAAGAGATACATTTTAGGTTCAAATATCAAATTTCCGTTATGACTGGAGAATATTCTTTGTATGACATAAATCCTCTTATATTTACTAAGACTTGTTTTCTAACCTAAAATATGCTTTGTCCTGGAGAAGATTCCATTTACACTTGAGAAAAATGCGTATTTTGCTGTTGCTGGTTGGAGTTTTCTATATATGTCTGTTAAGCCTGCTTGGTTTATGGTGTTGTTTAAATCTTCTGTTTCCTTCTTTGAAGATCTTCTGTTATTCTCCAGTCATAATGGAATTATATTAGAAATGAATAATAGAAGGAAATTTGGGAAATTAACAAATATGTGGAAACTAAACAACCTGCTTTTAACCAATGGGTCAAAGAAGAATTCAAAGAATTCACAATGAAAATTCAAAAATGAAGAGGGAGATAAGATGGTGGCATAGTAGGAGGACTCTAGACTCATCTCATCCTTCGAACACAACTAGATAACTATCAAATCATTCTGAATACTGACGAAATCAACCTGAGGACTGACAGAATAAACTCCAAATGGGAGAGAAGAGGCGACATTGAGGAAGGTAGGAAGTGCGGAGATCGTGGTTTGGGGGAGAAATGGATCATGGGTGCTGCAGAGGGGAGGG